CCAAGGATACACTAAAGAGTTTTATAGGCATTATTCTACTTAACCTCTTACAATGCCCCTGGATACATGAGAGATTAAAATGCTTTAATGGTCACCAAGAATTCAAGACAAAGTTGGTCTGTTTCTTCATTTCTAACTTCTATGCTATCTTGAGGAAATCCATCAAATTTGAGTAAAAAGACAATGATGACTCATTGAGAAGAGATTCAATGATGATAAAAATGAAGACAAATAAAAGTAATTAGATGTTGGCTAGAATGAAAATGTCAATGATGATAAAAATGAAGACAAATAAAAGATAGTAATTAGCTGTTGGCTAGAATGAAAATGGTCTAACTTGATTTGTTTAGGTTTTGCTGAAGGTGGGAAGGTGAATGTTTTTAAATACAAAGATATTTTGTGGTTATCAAAGCAAGTTTAATTGGGGGCAGCATTCTGTCTGAAAAAAGGCAAAAAAATCAGAAGATTCAGATATAAGGGTTACTCAGCTTTTGAGCAGATTTTAAAAAACTTCTTTCTTTGAACCTGCAAGAAAAGTTCAGAGTTGGGAGAAAGAGAAACAAACATGTCAAAGGAACAAAGGAGCAAAGAAGCTCAAGATACTGAAGAAAACCAGCAAAACAGCTATCCCGAGTGCCAAGTCCTTGTCTTTGGAAAAATAGCATGGAACGTTGTCGTCGAGCAGCATGCTGCTGTTAGCAGAAGTTAGTATTAAGGGTTTGAAGGTTCATACAGACGACACCCCCACCTCCTTACTTATCCCTTATTGGGGAGATAGGGAATGTTTTTATCCACAGGGATAAATGTTTTTATCCACAGTACAGGGAGTCATGTTGTTCAGACACTCAGAGCCCAAACAAGGGAGAAATGGATTAAGCAAAAAATTTAAATGAGATGCTTCAATTTCACATATAATTGAAATTTAATTACACGATGGTTTAGTAGTTCATCATACTCATCACTGACTACTAACCTATGCTGTCTTAGATGTGGCATCCAGGAGGCCAGTCTTAAAAAAAACAAAAGCAAAAACCAAACAAACAAAAACAAAAAAAAAAAAACCAGGAGCAGACACAAGCAGCTGTGTATTTCAGGGAAGACAGTTTCCAGAGTATTAATCCTGGAAAGTTACTGAACAAACAAAAGCAACAACTATAACTCTGACTGAGGGGGGAAGGGATAGATGAATCATGATAGCAAGTTGCTATGTTAGTTAAAAAAATTAGTTTTGACATGTAAAGAACAGGAAACTGTGATGCACATTGAGGATAAAAAAGCACTTTGTGGAAACTGTCTCTGGTTAGGGTAGAAGATGGGAGAGTGGGCCCAGAAACTGGACTTAACAATGGCTTCAAAGTAGCTATTACACACATGTTCAAAGAACGGAGGGAAACCACATTTACAGAATTAAAAGAAAGTATAACAATGACTCACCTGATGGAAAATACTTTTTAGAAAGATGAGCATAATAAAAACCAAAGAGAAAATTTACATTTGGAAAAAAAAGAAATAAAAAATTCACTGGAGACACCCAACATCATATCTGATTTGGCAAAAAAAAAAAAAAATGTTAACCTGAAGATAAATCGAAACAGATTACATAATCTGAAGAACAAAAAGAAAGCGAAGAAACAAAACCAAAACGGAGTTTTGTGAGACTCACCAAGCATAGCAAATTCCATGCAAAAGGATACCCAGAGAGGAGAGATGAAGGGCAGAAAAGTATTGGAAGAAACAATGGTCTGACTTTTTCCAACTGTAGGAAAAAAATTATCTACAGATCTAAGCTTAAACTCAAACAGGATAAAAACAAAGAAATCCACACCTAGTACATCATCTGAAAGTGCTGAAAGACAAAGACAAAATACGAAAAGCAGCAAGACAAAATGCATCACATACAAGGGAACCACAATATGATTAAAGGTGAGTTTTCACCAGAGACGATCAAGGCTACAAAAAAAAGTGGGATGAAAACAAAACAAAACAAGAAAACTCTGAACCAAGAATTCTATATCCACCAAAACTTTCCTTCAAAAATAAAGGTGAGATAAAGGCATTCCAAAATATGCAAAGACTGAGATAACTTGTTGCTAGCAGAAAGGCCTTAAAAAACTCAAGAAAGTCATTCAGACATAAAGGAAATGGCACAAGATAGTACTCTGAATTCATATGAAGAAATAAAGAGCAATGGAAAAGGTAGTTAAATATAAAAAACTGTTTTTTAAAAACTTGCTTCTCTCAACTGATTTAAAGAATAGTTGTCTGAAATGATGACTATAAAACAGTATTATTGAGTTGTAACATATAAGTATATAACATATATGACAGTAATGTCACAAATAAGGGTGTAGGGAATGGAGGTGTATGGGAGCACAGTTTGTATATTTCACCAGAATTAAGTTAGTATTAATGTTAATAGACTGTGGTAACTACAGATGCAAATTAGTTCTAGAGTAATCACTAAAAAATAACTTAAAATAAGAAAAATGCAATGAAGGCATTATAATTCTACAATAATAATATCTTGCTAACAAAAAAGAAGGTAATTAAAGAGAAGAGGAACACAAAAAGACATGAAATCCAAGTCAAATGCATGGTGAAAGGTTAAACAGGTGTTAACAAGGCAAGGGGATGGGGTGGAGAGAACAGTGTTTCAAACAGAGTGAAAAACCTGAAATAAAAGAGCCTGTTCCCTTTTGGCCACAAAAAGCAGTCAACCTTTCTCCATGGGCTTCAGTGTGACTTCAGATGAACCAGTATTTGGTCAGTCTAAATAGACAGTATGTAAAATGCAATCACATCAGAGGTAGTCAAACAACATTAACTGAATAACGCAATGAGGATACAGATAGCTTTCTTATTCTCATTGCTATACTTATTCTACACATGCAATACAATGGCTGGCCTTTTTTTTTAAATTTAAAGTTGCCATGAAAGTGAGTATTCACTAAACTCAAAGATCCCTCAGGGCTAATAGACAAATCAACAGCATCACTGATCAAAACATTTTTCTAGGCACAGTCCTTTTGCTCAGACCAAAAGCAAAAACAGTGGGGTGGGAGAGGGGGTTGTTCTAATGGCTCAGGATATGTAGAGGAGAGCAATTTTTATGGCATCCTGAGTGGACTGATATTGACTGTTCAAGGAATATTGCCTACAGAGGACACATCCTCCCTGAATCACACTTCGGTCATTTCTCTTATTTTTGTCAGAATCAGAAGATATTTCTATACTAAAAACATTGCTCTGCCTCTTGTATTAAACAGTCTATTGCCCATATGTCATTGAACACTATGATATATCACTGATGTGAAGTCTGGACAACCACAATGATGATATTTAGCATAAACTGTGTTGCTACTTCAGTGAAACTGGATTGTTTGCAGCATCAGCTGGTGGAAGAAAGTGGTGTGACTTTCAGTGGCCCACTTTTTTTCTGAGCATTAGCAGTTACTTACTTTTTCCTGTGCCTGATGTCACTGAAGAATAAGTTGTCTCAATAGCATGGCCACACAGATATCCTTTTGACATGCTACTCTGAATGTAACAGAAAGAGTCATGTTTGTTACAAGCTGCTGGATCAGTTGGCAAAGCTGCCCCCCAAAAGGCTGAAACCATTATTCCTCCGTAAGTATTTTCTACTGTTATCTACTTCACTCCTGAACTTCTTTCCTCAAGTTGCATATTATTATTCCATATTATTCTATTTTTAAACATTCTTTTTATTCTGACTGAACCATTCATACTGATATTTCTCAGGTTTATGTCCCTAAGATCACTCTTTCTCATCCTATCCTGAAGGACTTGGGTCATTCCAATCAGTTTGTGGCTTTTGAATTTCAGATATATACCTTCAGCTCCAGAATTCTTCCCTAAACGCTACACACATATTTAAATATCTTCAGGATATCTCAAAGTTCATGTTTAACATCAAGGAACTTTATATTCAACATATTCAAATGTGATCTTACCCTTCCTAAGGGTGTAAGTCCTTCTGATTAATAGTTCCATCAATTACCCAAGCCAAAAACTAGGATTCACTCTGGACTCTTCCAAATTTTACATTGAACCTGTAACTAAGTTCCATTGATCCCATCTATCAACATCTTTACACACACCTCTCCACCTAGCTCCCTATTTATTACTGCCTTTCTTCATGCCCTCATCACCCACTCTGTGTTATTACAATGGTTTACCTGGTCTTTTGGCTCATCCCTACCCTGGCTTCAATCCAGACTGTCTTGCTGGCAGAGTGAGCTTGCTGATGTTGCTTATCCTTCTGCTTAAGAAGTTTGGTGTCCTCTGACTTACACAGAATAAACTCCAAATTCCTTAAAATAATAACAAATTATATAGTGATTAACCATTGGAAAGATCAACTATTCTCCCATTCCTCCAACTATAAATAAGGCTTGTGTCTTAACATGCTTTTTAAATACATTCAGCTGGCTCACTACACGTAAAATTATTCCAAATATTACAATTTTTTTCCTGTGATATGATATAGTTAACAGTAATAAATAATTCACTGTCATTCTGCTACAAAGAAAAACAGTCCACAAGTATTGACTTCACACACTTGAAGTCTGTTAAAGTCCAATACTAGTTTTATTTTCTCCAGGCTACAGAACATTACTCAAGTTGGCTCTCACTTGAGCAATTTTCCAGGGTTGATGTGTTACTGCAGTTCACCTCCGAACCTACTAGTTTAAAAAGAAATTAGAGCCATTTTTTCTAATCAGGAAGTTACACCAAGATTGCTGTTTGTAATACTCTTATGTCTCCAAGTATTCTGTTTGGTTGTGGTAATTTTTCACTTCTCTATAGGAAACTAGATGACATGCAGGACAGAAAGTTTTCAGTACATTTGGAATCATACTTCTGTGGCTGCAGAATAGATAAAGCTAAGTTCTAGGCCATAAGATAACGGCGACTCTTACTCTTGGCCTGAAAACACTAGCGTCAATCACACGTGAAAATAATTCAGTCAGATGGACACATTTTCACAAGAATATTTATTTGTTATTGTTGAAAAATACACAAAGGCAAAAGGTTGCTTAGCTGCTGATTTCCCAAAATACAGCAGGGTATTGTAAGAAAGGGGGAAATATACCTGTTCTATAAATGACAGTTACATTTCTAAGGCATTTGGGCTTAAGAGTAGTAGGCGCACCTAGGCCCATTTACTTGAGTTTAAATATACTGAGGCACACCAGGCAGGCAAAGGATTTGAAAATATACAGTAGAACTCTTTCATGCACTTGCGTCTTAGGATTGCATATTCATCCCCTGATCCCCCCAGCCTCCATCACTCATTTTTTCCACATGAGTTTTGGAGTTGTTCATAGAACACTGGTAATAATCTACTCTTCAAGAGTTTGCTTATAATGACGACACCAATGAGACACACAGAAGAGAACTATTTCAAGGGCAGGTTCTGCAGACTCTTACCAAATTGAGGCTCCAGTAAGAAAAACACCAATTTGCAAAGGCACAGTGGAGACAGGTTTAATGCATTAAATATAACATGAATCCTTCACAATAACAAGTTTAGTGTTTCAGGGAACTTTTGTTAATACAACACAGTTGGTCACACAAAATACAAATGCTTCTGTTGATTTGTCTTGGCAACTCAGATACATCAACAGTGCTAACAGTTTAACAGCTTTGTTCTCATCTGACAGAAAATAATGGCAGTTCTGCAAGGCAAATGTTAAACCTGACCGTATGTATTTATTAATTCCACAGTGTTTTGACAGATTACAGGGGATGGAACTCAGAGGATGCTGACACGCTCGCTGAGGGCTTTCATTTCCGTCTCTTCGGTCTCAGGACCGCCCTTGTGGCCAGCGCCTGGATCGATCAGGTGTGCGGGGTACTGCAGGCCCTGCTCGCCTGCGTACTGCTCCCACCTCGAGTCATCGCTCTCGTGGGTGATGTAGCGCTCCCCGATTTTGCATTCCAGCTCTCGTAAATCTAACCAGGTCTGATAATCCTGAGGAAGACATTGCAAAGTGTTACCCCAGATACGACTGTAATTCATTAAAGTTTTCTTTCTTATGTTATCAGTTCCCACAACATACACGTTACCCTTTTTCTCTTCCACTCCAACCATGCTGTGCATTTCCTTAGGCACCCTGAAGCGACAGCATCAGCACCAAAGCCATCCTATTTGCCTCAACTTTGCAAACGCATATTATTTATAGGATATCACGCATCAGAAGGTGTGCAGTTGATATCTGCAGTTAAGCAATGCAGAATGTTGGTGTTCCTTTGGAATTCAATGCCCACAAATAGTCCTTCAGTATTTCAGAGGATCGTTTTTCTAAACTTTAATTTTCAATGTGAAAATTAAAAAAAAATTTGAGAGAACAAACAGATGCATATGCTTTATATCTACCATAAATTTGTTTTACGGGTATTAACTAGGATTTAAATATACAGCTCCCACATGAGTACAGTGCATGACCAGATGGGCATCTACTTGGATATTTATCAGGATTACACATACAGATGCTTCTGAAATCTGGTCTTTGGAGTTATGTTATGACCTTTCCTTCTTGTTTTTTGTTTTTGCGGTGTGTGTGCTGGTGTGTGTGTGGTGTGTTTCTTCTTTATTCAATTTTCCTGATACAGTTAGAAACATTATTAATCCTAAGAAGCGGCATGCATTTTGGCAAACACACTGATAGAATTATACTTCAAAAATACGATACAAGATTTTTTAACACATAGTATCCACATCTTTAAATGTTTAGAAGCTTATTCAACTGAGAATATATCCAATGATTAATTTTTACCTGTAGCCAAGGGTGACTCAAGGTCTTATCCACACTATATCGCTTTCTCATTTTCACTTGCAGCAAATTATTGATAAGATCAATGGCTGAAAAAAAATGTATTGGTAAAAATAGATGATATATCTGAAACATATATATAATTTATTTATAGTTTATTCCACATCTGCTCTTTCACACAGTTAAATGCAACACAGTGATAACAGACCCTAGAACCTGAAGAAAAATCCTCTTGAGAATTCTAAAACCTTGGCCTTAATTTTATTTTGGATCCTAAAAAGTGAAACTGAAAATAACTATAGAGGAAGGAGTATAAGTCTTTGTAAGTATGATGTGAATTCTTTTGGTTTAGTTTTCAACACACTTTTCTGAAGTTGGGGTTTTGTTTAAATATATACCATTTAAAGATGCTGCACTAATGGCAGGATAAAACGAACATTCAAGAGAGAGCATTTACTAATTTTTGTGTCAAATGTGTTTAAAGTTTGAATACACATAATTGGCTTTGTAGTTTTTGAATTAAGTGACAGATATCTGCACATTGCATTTAAAAGGAAGAAAATAAAGCACAACATAGACATGGCTCATGATCAACTTAAGCCAATGATCCGGTGGTGAAACACTTGTCTTTCTCAATTTGCTTTTAAAATTAACCATTGAATTACAATGATATCAGCCCTCACTGTTTCACTGGGAAGATAGGAAAGCAACCTAACAGCAATTTACAATCACAAACCATCCAGCCTTATACTCAGCCTCGATGGGGACTTTAACACCATGTAATTTAGGAAAAAGGTGATTCTTCTAGTTATCTAGTCTACAAAGCATTTTACCTAGAGTATCATGTGTCAATCACCTTTCCAAAAACTATATTTTCAAGCCTAGACTATTAACTGTAGGGAATATGCTATGCACAGGCCTGTACTATAATTAACAGGGCCTCTTTGAAAAAATAAGAATAACTTTCTCATCACCTCCAGGCAAAGGGCTGGGGGCAGTAAAAAGTACATCCTGGAAAGATATCTTGAATACAAGATCTTGAAGTACTGATGTGATTGATGAAAACCATTAGTGACTATTCCCCTAACCAGAGCCTTGAGGGAGTTGCTGAGAAAGGGTGTCACAGCCAAAGGGCTAAAGAAAATCATGAAAGGCCTGAAGGTTTGACATTGAGGGCTGTGCATTGTATATCTTTATCCCTGATCTGAGATGGTAAAGAACAGATACCTCTAGAGCACGAAGAAGGAAGTAGAAGTCAACAATAAAGGCATGCAAGGATTAAGATCTGGGCTTTTGCCTGTGAATGGCATCAGCCCCTTGATCCCCACTTTATTTCTGAGTCTTCTTTTTCTTTATTCTTCTGCAGCACTGCTCCCTCAGGTCAGTTTGTTGTTGGGATGGTCCTGACATTAACAGTTCACTATTTATTAAATTCATTAACTTATGCTTCCCATATATTCCGATAATAACTTCCCATTTCTTTCTTTCCACTAGCATTTTCTTCCCAAAAAGAATTTAGTGAAATCTGCCAAACTAATGGAAACATTCACATTGTGCCAAAGAATACATTCCCTCCCTTAATCTACCCTGGTCATTAAGTTTCTTAAGAGATGGATCTTCCTACCAAATACCTTAAATATGTATCTGACAAAGATGCAAATTCACTCCCCAACTTCCTCAAGTACTAAGTCCTGAATGAGGGGGCTCTGACTCAATTGCTTGCTCAACATCACTCACTCTGAATGGATCTGAAAACATTTCATTTACAGAAGTCCCTGTAAAATAAAAATAACTTTATTCCATCAGAATGAATCAGAATTCTGTTAGCTGGCAAACAGAAATGATTCCTACAGGCTTTTGGTAATCTAGAATTGTAGCTCTTGACACTCATATTCAAAGTATTTGCCTGCATGGAAGGACTGCAGAATGAAACTGCTAAGAATTTTTTCGCTGGAGAAAGTAAAGTTAACAACACATATTTAAATGCTGTCTATGCCCTCACACCCTTGCCTTAGCTAGGATACCTTAGGAAACACAGCATTTAGTACAATTTCGAATTCCAAGCATGTGTTCTCAGAGAGCTTTTGAAAGTATAGTTCTCTCAGTGAACTGCGTCTCGGGCCTGGGCTTTAAAACATCCATTCACATGATTTACTCACTGGTGAGTAAAGTGCACCTTCCATTCCGGCTGCTGTGAAGTCACACAGCAAAAAACGGAGAATCAGGGGAGAAAGGAGAGTGTGTGTGCTCTGGCAAGCACGTCGCAACATTACACTACCCCGGACGCCGCAGGGAATAAGGACATGTTATTAATTCACTCCTTCTGCTTTGAATTCTGTAATTAGGAAGGTAGCAGTACAATAACTCGACAAAAAGTCTGGTTTGTGCCCAAATGGGCCCCAACAGTGAACCACACTGCCTAACGGGGAGGGAAGTACTGCCAGAGGAGAAACTCGACGTGTGTGAAGGGAATGAAATATATGAAGATGAAAAAATCGCTCTGCTGAGTGAGGCATGTAATCACAAGTCCGACCACAGCCGCAGTGCCCAGCTGACCCGAATAAGCACAGCAAGCCAGTGACAAATACCTCCAAGACAAAAAACTTTAGGACCTAAGGAGAGAATTAGACGGACATGTGTGTCTATATACTTGTGTGTGTGCCTGTGCATTTACAAATACATTTTGTGGCTCTTGGCAGCAAAAACCAGAAATAACTATTAAATGTTGGACATTAGTTAAATATTGGAAACTTGATGTTGCTGAGAAAACAGGCCCATTGTTAAGTGTTTGAGAGCTCCATTCCACTGGCCACTATTTCTGGAACTCCTAAGTCCTTTCCTTTTCATTAATCAAGTCTCATATAACTCAGCATTAAACGCACCATCCAAAATACCTTTCACTGAGCTCATTTTATAAAAAGACTCTAAAGTGTTTGTGTTGTTGTTGTGTTTTCAACATATTCTCTTTATTGACCATATCCATCACAAGTATGTGTCATTTGTTTATCTGTTTATTCACCAAATCTTCCTTAAGGGATTATTGTTGGCAATGACATTGGCAATAAAAAAGTTAATGATAAAGCCCTGAAAAGCTCCCAAGTGCAAAGGCAATTCCAAAGACAAAATATGCATACATACAAAATGACAAAATGCACCATTCTAAATCTTTGACCTTTATTAATACTCTCCTCAAAGAAAAACTGCTTTCTTTAGCATTTCTGAAATGTAGCTAGCTAGAGTCCTAGTGACTAACTCCACTGGTCCAAATTATTTCACAAGTCAATAAAATTTCATGATACCAGTGACAAGAATTATTTTCTCCTATGTTGTGCCCAAAGCTGTCATTTTTACAACTTACCTACATTAATCCTACTTAAGTCGTAGATGCAGTGGAGAACTTGACTATTCCACGTGATAGCTCTTCAAGTCTTGGGGACTGTGATTCACTTTACCCTTGCTCTCTGCAGTTCTTTCAGCTGCCCTTCAGCTCCCCCAGTTTCTCTGTGCACCCTAACTTTTATGTTTACCAGCTGTTCTTGTTCACAGTAGACCAGAATTTTTCCTACAATTAGCTGCCAACTTGATGTGAATGTATAGGTATTAGTCATAAGGCTTAGGATGAAATTTTTCCTTTTTTAAAAAAATTTCACGTTCATATTCTTAGGCAGTCCTCATAACAAGCATATAAAAGTAGTTATTATTTTACCTCTTTTATATCAAAGGAAAAACTGAACTTCAAAAGATCATAAAATTTGGTCAGACAGTTTCCAGATAACAGCTTAAGATGAAACCCAGAGGGACTGATTCCAAACCCATGCTCTTAAATACTATGGCATGCAGCATCCACGTCATACCACAAACTCATTATTATCAATTGATGATAATGTAAAAATCTAATTAAATTAAAAAGTTTCCCAACAATGAGCATTAAATTCTTCTTCGTTATGTTTCTACCACACTCCTGTGTAAATAAATGCACAGATACAGACAAATCTATCTATCTCTTATCTATCTTTCTGACTTTAGCTCAACATTTTGGCTTTCAAAGACTATTCTGAATGTGACGTGATCCTCTGCCATTGAAAGGACTAATCCTCTTTCTACCATTTGCAAACTAAATAAGCCTACCTGTAGGCTTGAAACTATGTATTCATCACATTACTAAGAATCTTTTTTCAGGATAAAGCTTAAACATAGAACTTGATGACTCTATGTTAGATTAAACTCACAACTGCCATGCCTATCAATTATCTGAACACACTGGTAAATGAGTAATGTTTCCTCCCAAGAGTATCTCATTCAGTCCATATGCAATCATCTTCTCTAAAGGCTACCATGGTAGATTTTTTTCTTAATGCTTTCTTATAGTTAAGAAACATCAGTCCTTGGTATTACTCACTCTACTCATCTGTCAATACTATTTAAAAAGAATGCAATTATTCTAAGGTAATAGATTCTAAGTAAACTAATATTGACTAGTATGGGTTTTTCCTCACTTCCTTCTTAATATCAGGGTTCTGAATGTTTGCAAACTATTCATGACTCCTTCTAGGATTTAGACAAGAACAACTATTAAGCTTCTTCCTGGATGATTATAGAATCCATTCTTTCCCTCTTTTAGAAATTCAGAAAACTCAGGTCTGGTTTAAGTATCCTGGTATCTCTCCCAGTTTATTCAGGATTTACTAATATAATTATCCACAATGGCTCTAAGAACACCTCTGTCAGCTTCTTCAACACACAGTATGTCCTGCTCTGAGCATCAGTCACAGTTTACAGTTGAGTTTGAACCTCTCGAGTAGGAAATGGCAGACCACTCCAGTCTTCTTGCTGGTGAATCCCATGGACAGAGAGCCTGGCAGGCTACAGTCCATAGGGTTGCAGAGTCAGATGCAATTGAGCACACACACCACCACATATCGCAGTATCTGCTTTTCAAGAGGTAAAGTTTATTGCTACACAGGGCTGGCTTCTCCACACTTTGGGGCAATAAGCAGATGTAATTTGGAATAGCTGTTGTTGTATCTAGGGCCAAATATGTGCAGGAAAATCCTCCATTCTCTTAAGTTACATTTTTTTTTCCTTTTAC